TCCACAGCAAAGGATCTAAGCAACAGTGGGGCCCTGAATTTTCTGCTGAGCTCTGCAAACCTTCTCATGAGGAAATCAGGGCACACAGTACTTTAAACAGATGCAGAGACAGCTGATTCAGGCTTGAAAGGAGTTTTGTGCTCCTGGCTGATTCATAGTAGAAGTATGGGTATAACACTGCTGAGAGCAATAATTCACCACCTCTGGAGGCTGATGGTGAGAGTAAAATCTGACCCAGGCCCGCTACCCCAGAATCATTAGGGGACCCAGAATGCCTGGATGGATGCCCAATAGGTGAACAGTTTAGAGCTGGGCCTGTTTCTGCTCTTACCAGGCTAAGGAGTTCTTATTGCTGTTGCTCCATAAAAGAGTCTGGCTGGACATGGAGATGATGAAGATTCTCTCTCCAGAATGCATGGCAAGGAAGCACAGAGAATGGTTCATCACGATGATCCCATATAAAGAGACTATATGAACACACACACAGAAACTATCGTACAAACAGTGAAAGGAGTCATTGAAAATGTTCTTTCGAGTGATATTCAGTCAGCACATAGTAGGATTCATATAGAAAAGAGTTGTTACTCACTACATCTTAATGCTCTTGTTTCAACTCTGAAAACAAAGCAGCACTTGTTTCTCACCAGTGACCAAGAGAACAAGATATGAGGACTGAGGTCTGTGACACCATCTTGCTACCCTTCCCTGCCTACTGGCTCAGTTCTCACTGCAAAGCCTCATTTATAGAATCAAACCAGGTAGGCTGAGCCTTGGAGGAACTATGCAAAGGAAACAGCAAATAAGAAGCAAATTGCATGGGCAGTGGATTGAGAAAGTGGCTAATTTAAACCCAAAGCCAGCAAAATCATTACAGACCACATACTGATAGGACAAGACAGAAACAGAAGTTACATTAGAAGCTCTGAGACCAAATTAGAAGCTCACAAATGACAAACCACTAGGTGATACACAGAGGAGCTTTAGTTTTAAACCAAATATAGATTTAAATGAGTTGAGCTTTACAGAAATGGTAGCCAAGCTACACAGATCAACAAGCCTGGTGAAATAATACAAAAATCAAGAAAACAATGCAAAAACAAAAATTAACAAAAGCACAGAGATCAAGGGAAAAAGAAGAGAGGGTGGGACATTCAGGAAGAGAGAGGGAAAGGGGGAAATATCAAGAGAAAATGTAAATTTTTGGACTCATTTCTTATTATTTGTGACAAAAAGAAATGTGTGAGCTCCTACGCCACTTCTATTCCTGAAGCTGTTAAATAACACAGCAAATACTTTTGCTCCAGATTCCACCTTTTTCTTGGGCCAGAGAGACAGAAGACAGAACCAGAATTCACTCTGTACAGAAGCCTGTTGGACCTTAATTTTAGCAAGGATCCAAGAGAACCTAACTAAGTTAAATAAAAACCAAAGAGATAATAGAAACTCTCTTTCCCACAACTACAAGAAACTGAAAAGAGAGCTTTAAGTAAACTGAGGAGCAGAGAGAGAAACAAGATTCCTCGGGAGTCAAGGCTACAGACCAACACTGCCAAAGACATTCATTCCAACATGCCTGCTTCAGAGAGCTTTAGAACTTGCCAACCTTGAAATTGGCTACAGACAGCCTTCTCGATGAGGTGCCCAAGTGAGAGCCTCTCTAGAGGAGGGCACTGCGATCTGAAGTCCTCAGGAATCCTTACAAATAGTTTTTGAAGGGCCATAAACACTGGGCCACAGACAAGTCAGAGATTCCTCGAAAACAGGTAGTTTGAGTATGGATGGAAACAATGGAAATAACAGAGAGCCAAAGACTACCCAGACTCCAGATTTGAGAGCTGTGAAAGCACATCGAAGAAATAAATTACAAACTTCACATTATGTAAAAACTCCAGGAAACTAAAAAGAAAATGAAGATATCATTAATCAACTGTAAAAAATTGACATCTCAGTGTATTTTATATCCAACATAACTTGTTCATCTGATCTAGAAACTTCAATATCAAGCAGTCATATACATTTTTAGAAGCTAAGTTTTATTATGACAAATATAATTACAGATAAACAGATCATTTTTGATACACGATAAAACATATTTCTTGTGTATAGCACACAAATAATATATAAGTTAATTCCACAGCTGCACAAAAGATTTTTCTTTTTTGGAGTACTGGGATTGACCCAAGGCCTTTGCACTGAGCTACATTACCAGCCTTTTAAAAATATTTTTATTTTGAAACAGGGTTTTGTTGTCACTAAATTGCTCAGACAGGACTCGAAGTTGTAGTCCTCCTACCTCAGCCTCTCAAAGTGCTGGAATTATAAGCATGTGTTACCTCACCTAACACTGAACAGATACTTTTTTAAACTTTTAAAAGTTAATACATTAGCTTATTAAAATTTGAATACAGTGGCTGGGGATTTAGCTCAGTGGTTCTACCACCTGC